AAGCAAAATAATAATAATAATAAAGCTGATGCATATAACAGTTTGGTTTCTGAAGAAAGAAGTTTACAAAAGAGACTGTAAATGGAACAATGATTCTATTTTATTTCATTTATTTTTTTCATTTATTTTGAGGGTACAATACCCGAGGCCTTAGTGTGTGTGTGTGTGTGTGTGTTGCCATTTTCCCTCATGCTTTAACCTGAGCAGTCTTACTCGAGTTAGGTAACATATGTACTTAGCATAAAGTGAACAAAGCTGACAACGGAGCCCGCACGGTCGTTCAGCAATAAATATTGTCTGGTGTGTAATATCAGTTAGCACCTGATCCAAGGTTAGGGCAATTTTCTCAACCGCTCAAGTTTGAAAATTCACCTGAGGAGGCTGGAATATACTGCTGATTTTTATTAGAAAAAGAAAAACACATCAGGATCCTTATTTCTTTAAAAGATCCTTATGCCATTCGCAAGCTAGGCCAACTGTGATCGAAAATCGGTCTTCGCAAATAGATGCCACTTGTTATAGCCATGGACATAATCCTATTTGGGTCCAAGTTATAGCCGATTTATTGACGTACGGTACCTGTATACAACAATGTACTATTTTTTCCACATAAACTGTAATTTAACTACCCAGACGTAGGGTATTAAGTTGTTCCAGACATCAACTTTTTCTCTGCCTTTATTACCTGTTATAAAATAGAAAGAAGTGTGGGCACTCGGCATGGGTTCATTACATGTATCATCGCAAGCTTGAATTGAACCCAGTGGATCTCGTTTCATCTCGAAGAAAAGACGAGAAGAAACTTAACACCACTGTCATAAAAAGTAGGCGTCAGAGTAGAAGAAAATAGAACACGAAGGTTTACAAAACCATCAATATTGCAGGTCGTTCAAAGTTCAAACATAATGAACACCGTGTGATTCTCTGCTACTGGAACAATTTATTCTGTAGCACATAACCAACACTTGTGAAGCCACAGATAAAGGGAAAGAATATGATTTATATTTGGAAAAATAATGCCCCCCTTCTTCGCAATTAGCGTGACACCACTTACAATGCTGCTTTGTTTTAAACATTCAAACTTCAAAATTTGAGAAAAACTGTATCAAAAAACGAGATCAATTCTCATAGATACGTGGTCTATTTGGTGTCTAAGTATCAAAAAGAATTCGTAGATTTTAATCACCATTTCATATCTGTAATAAAATACACTGGATTAACTGCGGACAAATAACGTAGCGGCGGAGTAAAGGGCGAAGGCTAATTTTTTTCACAAAATGAATCGTCGAGAAAAATCGGGTCAAATACGATTAAATTATATTGAAAGTTAAAAGCGCATCCACTTTTAAACATCAGCTTTTTGTCTGAGTTAAAGTCGGCACAAACTGGACAAGATATAGTCTTCGTGCAATCTCTTGTTCAGTATGCGGATAATTTTCCAACTTCATTAATTACAAGCAAGTTTTAAATTTTTAACAATTTTTTCTTCTGCATGATAGAAAGGTACAAATTCTTGAGACACTGATTCTTGCACAACCACCGCTTCGGACGTGGCCTACAAGCGCAATAGAAACAGAGTAAGCACAAATGGACACAATTGTCACCGCTAACACAATCAGTAATATCTGACTACTCTCAGCGAGATACACTGTTAATAAACTGAGGGTCTATATTACAGAGTCCGCTTTTTCATTCGGTTCATACTGGTTGAGGTTCGCGTGACCCATGTTGATCAAAATCCAGGACGGAACGTGTCTGTTCAAATGATCAATGTGTCACAGGGGACTCTCATACATCTCACCGGTTCCAGTCGTCTGTTAGCTAACTAGTACCCTCTACCAGGGCCAGAGAGCGAATTTTGTCCATTAAATATCCACAGATATTTTTCTGAGTCTCCATTATAGCTGGCTAAGCAAATTTCTGTTCTGCGAGAATTTTTGCATAACAACTAGCATCAAATGGCACCTCGGACCTTCTTACTACTATGTTTTGTTGGTCTACAAATTTTCATGCATTAATTTTTAGAGTGATCATATCGGTTGTTCATCGTGTTGCAGTCACTGCACTAATGAAACACCATAATACAGAGATAATTTGCTATCACAAGATAGTAAGCAATACCAATATGCTTAGACATTAACGTAAACGTAGTTGCGATTTGGCTTTGACTTCTGCGTATCTAGGGGCGGGTTGTTTGACACGTTAGCCAACGAAAACATTTTTGAGAACCACATGATTGAATATCGCCAGTCTTCCAAACCTTGGTTTGCACATGACAGCCTAACTCGTTTTTCTCGGCTTGTCACAGTGGTCACATTTATGTCTTGTCCCTTGTTAGCTAAATCACGAACACAGCGATATCGTGTTCCAATCCATTTTAAAACTTAAAAAAGAAAAGATAATAAATAGCTGTTTCTTTGGAGATAAAATAAAATGCCTACATTACGGCTTTTGTACCTCAAAATTTATGCTTTTTTTAATCAGTTTTTTAACTTAGTATTAAAACGAGACGATTTTTATCTATGCATCAACAGTTTTTAACATGTGTACCAAGCAGCGTACGGTCTTTACTGCGTGTTATAGCACGGCAGCGGCTTGCACACCTATCATTGACAAATAGTGGGCTAAGGCGGAGGCCGCCACCGACCTCCGGTGTCAGTGTTATTGGGCCCCATTTGTCTTCTCCTGCCTTCCCATTTGAAGAATTGTATCTTCTTCCACCTCCAAGTGCTTCCGGCATCCAATAAAACAACAAGAAAAATTTGGATCGCTTTTACCTTGGCAATATAGCTAGCACCGTCTTCTACGCTCACCTAACTGAACTAGTGCTTCCGGAAACCAATATAACTACACGAAATACACACTACTTTTCGATCTTTTATATTTCTGTGACACAAGCAGTTCTCTGACTGAAAAATTGTGGTATATAACAGATAATATTTTTATGTAGTACATTTTCTCTCCTTTGCTTTCCCCTCCAGAGACATTGCTGTTCAGACTACGACCCAGTTAACAAGTAGGGGCCTATACTGAACATTAAGTTCAGAAGACTTCGTTATTAAAGACTTTATAAAGGCGTATTGATATTTTTTTTTAATTTCGAAATATGGAAGATTTTTCCCTTCTAACCATGAGAGACCTACAACGGGGCTGGTTCTCTTCCTTCCTTAAAGACAGCTGAAAGACAGCTATTACAGCCTCAAGACATCTGTAGGCCTAATAAAGCATGCATATTTTCTCTTATCCTAAACACCGGTCGGAACAGGTGGGTAAGCAATTAGCAATTCAGGTGAAGGATAAGAGAGTGATGGGAGGGATGCAATTTGCATAGTTGATCATCGGATCCGACGTGGTCTAGTGGCTAGGATATCTGGCTCTCACCCAGGTGGCCCGGGTTCGATTCCCGGCGTCGGAAGACCTTTTTCCTTTGTTTTTAGTTAATTTTTAATCCTTTGGCCGTGGACGCAAACCTCCCTCCTATAATCCTTTTAATAATTGTATGTCCAAGTTAGGTTGGCGTTAAATTCATCCATAACCAGATTTTTCTACATCTTGAAAATAAACTCATAATAGTCCTGTTGATATTCCGTTTGGAAAATAATTGCAGCGTTTTCTTGTATGAGAATATTCCGAATGCCCTTTTGCCGCACGTAGGATCCAGTGTGGTGGAATCCTGATTGGGATCTGTTCCAAATGCAAAGCTCCTTTGCAAAGGCGACGAGAAATTACGGAAAGATTCATATAAGCTCGCTTTTACGGTTCTTGTATTATGCATGGAGTAATGCATTCAAATCCTTCTTCGAATTGTGAAACATTTTTTAAAAATCAAGAACGAGACCTGTTCTAATCTGCTGTTTAAGTTAGCTGTAATCACGGGCTATAATAACAGCATTAAAAACATCTGGTATAATTCACTGTATTACATCTTTTCTCATTAGCACCCACCGGAACAAGTGGAGAATGTATTAATGGATTCAGGCGAAAGGAATAAGAAAGATTTGAGTATAACGTAGTTGCCCCTCGAAACCAACTGATCCGACGTGGTCTAGTGGCTAGGATATCTGGCTCTCACCCAGGTGGCCCGGGTTCGATTCCCGGCGTCGGAATGGGTCTTTTTTTTTTATCTTATTGACTGAATTCATATGAAAAGTAGCTAGTTAAAAATAATAATAACCAGAACAGTACCCTTTAATATTTTGTGCGAAATCTCCTCTGAGAGAAAGAGAGAGAGAGATGGGACTGGAGGGGAGCGTTTCATTTGTTAACATACCCTACACATGGACTGTTTGCACCAAAATCTGAATATGCAAAAAAATCCCATCGTAAATTTTAAAATTGTTTACCACTGCTTCTGCTTCATGAAAAGTTAACGTATTATGTTTCAGTTAGGACAGACCTCCCATTCAAAATAAAAAGGAAACAATACGCAGCGGCAATTGTAAAAACTGGGCACGTTTTGGAGAATGGTACGATGTGCGTAATAAGATTTTTTGACAAACAACGCGGTTGGTCGAGGTAACAAAGAGGACCCTTTTCTCCAACTTTCACCGGGGTACCTAGCGATCTGGGACATGCTTTTTATTTCCTCCAATGAAGCACGTTTCACCTCAGATTATCAAAACAAAAGATATTAACACCTAGGATATAAAAGAACTGGAACAAAATTTCCGATAGTTTCTTTTAAACGCCACCCACTTCCCTAATTTTCAGTTGGGTAAATAAATAATTAATTATAAAAGATGATGCAACTTTACCAAAAGAAATTTTCGGCAACAATCAATTCTGTTTTTGCTTTTTTAAAATAGAAAAACTAAATCACGGAGAAAAAAAGAATAATATTCCATTCTATCGTGATGTGGCTATGTTAATGATCATGAATAGGGCGTCCAACAAAATATCCTTGACTTATATAATGGTTACAAAACTAAACTTAGAAAGATAAAATTTACGAGTCATGCAAGAATTCGTGATAAATCAAAGTTGGAGTCTTTTGATTGCGAACGCCGACTTTTTCTAAGGATGCACAAAGTTTATCACAGTTCGGATTGAAGGTGGTTTCTGTTCAAGAAGGACTTCTATTTTTTTCGAAATTAGTAGCTCGTGACACAGATAAACAGGAGCGAGTATACAGTAATTAGGCAATAAGCTGTTACCTAGCAACGCGCACGCGTAACGTCATTACATGACCTTGAGGTAGCTGAGATATAGGACGGGAATCCGCTTCGATCTTGCAAAGCAGCATGTGAAGTCTCTATAATATTAACGGGTTAATTCATGTAACTCCCAGGCTCAGTTCTCAGTCTGACGAAGCGATGGCGCAGTTTAACATTTTGTTGGCTTGTTAGAGATGTACGTGTATAGGATATGGACCTGAGTGCCTTGATTCGGGGAAATTCTTCAGTGGTTACACGAATCATGCTTGCCCGTTACAGTATGACTTAACCTTGCCGTGCAGCATTTCCCTTCGTTTATAATCATCGTAGACCACAGATGACTTCTACCAAGGATTCAACTCCGGCTACCGAAGCCATAGAACTTAGAGCTCCTCCAGGTAATCACATTTTAGTCTAGGGATCCAGGTATTGTGATAATTATATTGGTGTTTTCTTCCACGCTGCACAGCCATTTGTAATTATCTAGGTCAATCGTGTAACTAAAAATAACTCGTATTGTGCAGTGCCGTCGATATCGGGAACTATGTGGGTCCACGACAAGGATTTATAATGCTCGGGTTCTTCTTTTTTTCATCCTGACACGTGTACAGCATCATTGCATATGATTATCATAATTCCAGGCAAATTTCATGCATTGATGCAAGAAATTCATTAAATTGCGAAGGGATTCCCCTTGCACGGGATTCCCTCACGCCAGTTAGTGACGTCACATGTTATTGTCGCCCGGTAGCAGGATAATTTAAGTTACAACTTCTCGGTGCGAGCAAGACAAAGGCCTACCGGTATATACAACAAAGTACCCATTTATATTTTACATCGAAAGTTACAAGGGCTTGTCTGCTTTTATTACTGATTGAAAAAAAAAAACATTTTTATAACTTTTATTGCATTAGACCCTTTTTTGGTCTGTGTAGGGTCCACTTGATTATTGAAAACTATCTCAGGAAAGTTGATCGTAAAAAAGACATGTTCCTTCATGTTACTGCAAACATATCAAGCATTGTAGACCTATCATATTGTGGTTATTGTCTTCTGAGGTTTGCCTCAACCATTTTCGAAATCCTTTCGCTAACACAACGGCATTCCTAAGACCAAAGGTATAGTCATCATGAAGAAAATAACTATTATTTCCAAATACGACTGAAATAAGTGTGACATATTCAAATATTTTACTTCTGTTATAATAAAAGGACGATTACTGCAAAAATAGACCCTAACAATTACATAAAACATTTTAGGCCATGATAGATTACCTGTCATTCACAACACGACACAAATAGACTTGGAACGTTTGGACGCGAGTCTATGCGTCCCGGCGCGTGTGGGCAGCAAGATTTATCGGCTTCTTGATGTTATCTTCTTGTATCAGTGTGAAGATACTTACTGCTTGAAAAATGGAATAATATCATGCGCAATAGTATTAGTACAGGTACAGCTGAACCACTCTCATTTTGTGATATACTTTTCTTGTAGCATCCGACGTGGTCTAGTGGCTAGGATATCTGGCTCTCACCCAGGTGGCCCGGGTTCGATTCCCGGCGTCGGAAAAACTGCCTTTTTCTCGTCAGTAACATTGAGATATGTCATCTATTATCAATAAGAGAATTAATTAATATGTATAAGATAGGCGATAGGAACCTTACTATATCGTTGCAAAGTGATTTGCTAATGTGAATGATCTGGTACTGACTTATCCGTTACCAAATTAACGAGATATAAGAAATATACGTGCCTTTTATTCGACTGAGGCAAGTAAAAGACATGATAACTCGATTTTTTTCTAGAAAACTTTTAATTATATTGAGACGCTAAACCGTTTGTGTCTGTTTGTTTGCCTCTCTCTCTCTCTCTCTCTCTCTCTCTCTCTCTCTCTGTAACTCTTGTGCCATCTGATAGATCCAAAATAAAACGTGCTTCAATTTGACAAGGCAAACTGTTTATCCTTCAGGTACTGATGCTCATCGTCAAGAAGATCCAGGGTCGCCTGCGATCAATCCCCTTTTAGATGACAGCCATGAAAACAGTAAAGGAGACGACGGGCACTTGAAAAATGGGATAGAAATTAAAGAAAATGAAAAAGGAAACTTCAAAGAGACTGTGGACGTGAAGAAAAATGGTTCCATTGAATTTAAAGACATAACAGAGCATTTTGAAGAGGGCAAAGAAAAGTCCAGCTACAAAAAACGCACGCGGCGATGTGATGCGTGTCGCACGAGTTGCTATAATTTTTGTAAACCATGTATGACGAAGTACCACCCGCCGGTGACAACACGAGCACAGCGCATGCGCCACGCTCTGATGTGCCCGCCTCACGGGAAACTCGGGCGGGTCGTCACCTCAAAACTAACGCTGATTCTGCTGTGGGCTGTCTTGTGGGCGATCACCAGAGATGAAGCGCTCCCTGGTGGAAATTTCTTCGGCCTTATTGTGCTGTTCTTAGCCTGTAAACTTGGAGGGTTTTTAGTTAGCAAGATACGACTTCCACCTTTACTAGGTTGGCCTATTCAGAAAAAATCGATCTAAGTTAATTTTAGTAGTAATTTTGCTTTGCAAGCTCATTTTCGAAAAAAAAGTATTTTAGGCGAATTGGATAAAATAAATATTTGAATTTTTTTAATTTTCGTGAACCACATTTACTTGCATTGGCCTTGTTTCAAACGAAGACCGTCCTTTTAAAATGCAGTTAAAATTCCACAATTTTCAATCAAAATAAGACACTAATCTAAGAATCAGCATTCGCTTACCATTGTAAATCAAGCAAGATACAGCACAGCGCGTCTAAAGACAATTTATTTTAGGGAAATCGTGAAGAATTTAATATAAAGCAAATGTTGACAAGAAAAAAGGCGAGCTATCGTTCCCTATCTCCATATATTGTATATTTTAGGCATGCTGATAGTCGGTTGTCTCCTCAGGAATGTCCCGTACATAGACGTTGCCAAGGACATTAAGAAAGAATGGTCGTCTTCAATAAGGTATTGTATGTGTAGGTTGATGCACCCTGGATTTGAGAGAGGGAAAGATATTTTAAATCAGTAAAAGCAGTTTCAGAATTGTGTCAGAGCACTGGTTGCAATTATAATGAGAGGCGACAAAGACAAAGTTGGCGGCAGCTCATTGATATGCGGGGTGCGGTACGGTGTGGTCCCAATAACAGGCGTGAATTGTGCCTTGCAGCTCATTATTTTCCCACTTCGAGGTTTTGTTTTCCTGACAGGTTCAAAACAAGACATTTCAAGGCTGAAGAGAGCGACAAACCCAAGGCGATGAAGCACGACTGTTACACACAATGTTTTGAGGGACCAACGGTTTCAAATGTTTTCTGTTTTCCGAATAAACATTTTAAAGACCTGCTTGGCCCCTTCAGATTATACTTGCTTAATTTGCTCTGCTTACCTTGCTCAAAGACTGGAAAATAAAAAAAAAGAGCAGGGACAAGTTGTGTGACTCTGTACTCTTTTAAACTAGTACTGTTGTAAAATTCAGTATGAGGAATTTTATAAATTTTTCTTCAGATCCATAGCCCTTGTGGTCATCCTCATCAAGGCGGCCTTGGGTCTGGACCCCAAAGCCTTGCGCCGCCTCTCTCACGTCGTTGCGCGGTTGGCCTTCATTCCATGCGCCTTCGAGGCGGTGTCCGGGGCCGTGTCCGGCCACTTTCTGCTGGGGTTTCCCTGGGACTGGAGCTTTATGCTGGGGTAAGAAAGGTGTATATTGTTGTTGTTGTTGTTGTTGTGTGTGTGTGCGTGTGTGTGTGTGTGTCAGAGAGAGAAAGAGAGAGAGAGAAGAGTGCAGGTACCACAAAGAGAAAGATATTTTTGTATTTATTTTAAGGTCGTTCACCTTTTTTAAGCCTCCCAAAAACTTCTTATCTTGTCATCATCTTTAGCCCACTGATTACTATTCCCCTCATGTCTTCAGCATTCAGGGTATACTGTAATGGCTGTACAAATGCTTACAGTTATCGATCAATTATAGTAAAAGGATTGTTTTTTAACAATGTACTGATTTATTCTCCTCACTACCACTTTAAGTTTTTTCACACGCAATGCCCCCTCCTTGAAGGCATTGGTTACGAAATACTCCATAAAGCAGATTATAAACATGCTTTCGATTCTTTTCCGGTAATGCGCGGCGGCAGTTTCATCTTTTAAGAATCTTTAAAATGATTCTTTCATATAATAAATTTAAAAGTTTGCTTTCGAACCCGTTAAATAGATTATTATTTAACTTTTAAGATCTCAGCGGAAATTAAAGACCATCTCTCAGCACAACAAAACTTTGCCTGACATCGATTTATATTTTATTCATAGAAGCTCTACGTTATTCAGTGGTTATAAGTCTTAAAATTTGTTTTATACGTCTGAGGTTGGTATCGAAAATTTACATGGAGAATGTGAGATATTTATTTTGTTGCTTTAATATTTGTCATAACATTTGTCTTTGTCTTTTTGCCACTGATCACACAATAAAAGTGGGTATTTCAGAAAAAAATATAATGTTAAGAAAGGCTGTCTTTTTGCTATGAAAAGTTAATTAAAATGTCATCAAAATAACAATAACGATTTACTTCATTTTCAATGTTTCAGTGTCGCTAATTAAACTGCTACGAGATCGCGAGGACAAACGTTGTAAAATTTCATTTCTGCAGTTCGTAATTTATTTTTATATATTTAGTTTTATTTGTTGTAACAGATATAAATATCTTTACATTTTAAACTCCTAATCTTTTATCCAGCTTTGTTATGTCGGCTGTGTCCCCGGCAGTCGTCGTTCCCTCCATGTTGCACCTGCAGGAGCAAGGCCTTGGCGTAGATAAAGGCATCCCAACTGCTGCCGTGGCTTCGGGGAGCGTGGAAAACGTGGTGGCCATAAGCGCTTTTGGGGTGGTTTTGGGAATTGCCTTTTCAAAAGGTAATCACTGGAATGAAATATCTCCCTAAACACAAATAACACAAATGAATGTAAAAGTCAGTCGTTTTTATTTTATTTTGTTTATTTATTTATTTATTATTTTTTTTAGAGCTTGAAACTAATACAGCTTAGAATTATTACAACATTATCACATAAGGAATTTAAAACGGCAGCATTAAAGGGTTTGTTCCTAAATATAAAGATATGTCATACACACATTGTAGAATAAGAAATGTCTTTGCAGGCTGCTTTTTATTCAAGTATAAGAATCGAATAATTTGTTTAAAAGAAGATATTTCTCTCTAGGTGATTTAGCGTTCTCTATCATCCGTGGTCCGCTTGAGGCGCTGACGGGAGTGATATATGGCGTGATCGGCGGACTCATGTGTTGGTATCTGCCCCATATCAAACACGTGAGTACTTTGATTCTTCCTCTCGGACCATAGGGTGCGCTAGTAGCATGCTAAATTCTGTGTACTGTTTTAGAACCTCCTGTTATCAGGGGGTATCAAATACCATACATTTCAAGCAACGTTCATATTATTTTGTCGAAATAATGGAAGCAGTGCTGATTGTATGCTAGGACCCACTAAACAAGTGTTTATGACTTAGTTTAGTGGGTCCTAGTTGTAATCAAGTTTGCAGGGTGATTTTTGGTTTGTAAGGCGGTGGGTGGTAATAGCCCCAAAGGCCATTGTTCTGCTCATTATGACGTCAAAGCTTTACTCATGTAATAGTTTGTTACATGGCGTCATTCACACCTCGCTTTGAATAGGCCTAGGCCTACTGCTTTGAATAAAACTTTTACTGCTGATAACAGAATATTTATCTCTTAAAGGGTAAACCGTCCTTTTTTTCTGAGGTCTTAGGATTAAGGGTAAGGATGGAGAAAATCATAATTAATTACTGAACCATTACTGTTCATTGTAAGGCCTGTAGATGTTGCCCCCCCCCCCCTCACACACACACCACAGACAGGCGTCACCACAGGCGTCCATGCATCGTAAGTATCACCCCCACACACACACACACATACACACACACACACACACACACACACATGCACACACACAATATATTTTCAACTTACATATGTATACGGAACGAATAAAAAATTGGGTATATTGGTTGGAAATTAGGCCCAGCACAACACTGTCCTGATTCTTGGCCATATTATTTGTATCGGCAACTTATCCCGACTTTTAAGGGGAGACGTTTTTATGGTTTGTAAAGGAGACTATACTGTCAACTAGTATGTCAACTAGTAGCCTATGTGGTATTATGTGTCATTTTTCTTCTTACCACCCTTCTATATTCTCCCACACATCGAACAGACTTAGAAATATATGCAAGGTGATGTTATGAAAAATATTATTTAAAAAAAATCAGAACGACTCGGTGTGAACGATATTTCAACTGAGAGCGAATTATCAAGGTAAGTTTTGTTTTGGATGTCTCAGTGTTCCTATGGATATCCTAGGGGATGTAGACATACCGTGTGTTCATTACAGTAATTGCCAGCTTTTACATCTATTTGTTTTTTATTAGTAAATTAAAAAGGAGAGCACGACCCGGACGAGACTCGAACTCGCAATCTTCTGATTCGAAGTCAGACGCCTTATCCATTAGGCCACCGGGTCTTGTTGTCACGATGACAGCTAAAAATAGGACGCATTCGCTGGCATTCTGTTGAGCACAATGAATGACCGCAAAATTGCATTTATCGACTTTTTCCATTAAAGCGTATTGTGTATGTAGTATCACTGTCAGCTGTGCTTTTGCGACGTGCCTTCGTTGGTATAGGCTGGGTGTAAGAATTGCGAGTATTTTGTTTCATTTAATGGGTATATCAAAAGAAAGAAAAAAAATGAAAAGGTTTAATTCATTTTTTTATTTCCCCCTAAATTTCAGTTTAACTTTAATTTATTAAAATACTCACTGACTTAAAAGAAATTGATATTTGGATATGTGCAGACGTTAACAGGTACGAGCCAGACATCGAAAGGAAGTGCTCGTTGAGATTTTTAAATATCACCCCCCTATTGATGCTTGTAGAATTTTGAGATTAAAACAAAACATGAGAACTGTCTTTCTCTTTCCCTCCCCCTCCATCCACCCTCTCTCTCCCTCTCTCTCTCTCTCTCTCTCTCTCTATTTCCTTTTCTCCCAGTTCGTTTCGCTTCCAGGAAGTATGAGGATTAAACGTCACAACTCCGTGTGTGTATGACTTATTTTATTAATTTATTTATGTGAACCAGTGTTAGCCTATCTTCTCATACAAATAGGAACATTCGTCGGCCAATGTGTGCTTTTAAATCGCAAACATGCCAAGTTTTCGGAGACCTTGTGCAGTATTCGCTCAAAATTCGTTAGATGCACCCTGATTTTCAGAGAAGACTGCTAACTGACCTCCCAACTAACAGCATGCCTGAGACTCCGTTTCCAGTTAGTTTAATTTCATTCTGATAGAAAAAAACAACGAAATTCAGGGTAGCTAGATATAAGCAGAAAATACCCAACGAAACTCAGGGTAGCTAGATATTATATTACATATCAAATCATTTCAATTGTTACAGAGGAGGCAGGTGTCGTTCAGGACGTTTCTGGTAACAAGTGGTGGACTGTTTGCTCTGTTTGGTAGCGGTGCGGCCAAATTCCCTGGGGCTGGGGCCCTGGGGTGCCTCACCATGGCATTCGTGGCGTCCCTGGGGTGGCGGAGACAGGGATGGACATCAAGCGTACGTTACTGCTTTTTTTCCGTAGTTAAATGAGTTTAATATGTTAGATTATATCTGATTTCAAGTGAAATATTATACTTACAACTTACAAGCATCATGTTTAATGCTAATCGCTTTAAAACATCAGCGTTAATTTGAGCTGCTTCCTTTTACAATGCATATAAACCTGCTCAGTCTGATGTAAAAAGTATGTATAAAGTAAAGTATAAATACACTTACATTTATTTATTTTAATCAGAATCCTGTGGCAAAGAGTATTGGTAAAATGTGGCTTATCTTTCAACCTCTGTTATTTGGTTTGATTGGAGCTGAGATAGACATTACCAAACTCAATGGCGGAACAGTCGGTAAGAAATGCTCCGTTCAAAAAAAAGTATTAACCCGCTTCTACGCTAATGACTGACGTAATTGATAAAATTGGGGCAAACCTCTTCGACTCCTGAGCCATGTATAATAATACAGTGTATGCCTGTGGACAATGGTGTATTTTGAGCAAGGGTTTAAATATTTTATTTAACCTTCTTGCGCCTTATGTTCACTGACTAGCGTGAAATGTCATTGCTTGTCTTCGGCACCATTTTTCATAGTTACATCTCCTACTAGGACAAACACCACATAAAATGTAAAAGTATGACTCGGTACTCGTTACACAGGCCTGCCTTATCTCCACGGGACGGCCAACATGATATATGTACAATCGTGGCTGGTGAACAGTGTGGTACAATATCACACGAGTTCCATTATTGTGTCATGTTGTTATTTGAATCTTTAATCGTCAACTCGAACTAATTTTATACCAGTTCGCAAACAGAGCCGGTTTTTTTAAGGAAAGAAAAAAAGAAAACATCATCCATTTAAGTTTTTATTATTATTATTATTATTATTATTATTATTATTATTATTATTATTCAGTCGTAAACAAAAATGTTAAAATATTTTCAGGAAGTGAGTGGTTTTAATTTTAAATAGTTTGTCTTCCATACCGGTGCAACGAAATTGAGGGTCCGCGTAACAGAAAGTCCGCCCTCCACTTACTGATAATGGTTAGGGTTAGCCTGATCTAAGTGGGTCAAAATCTAGGGCGAGACTGTACAAATGAATGGGAAGCGGACTCTCTATTATGGGAAACCCACAGGTTTGTTACACCGGGGCACGCCCACTTCCATTGTAGGTCTAAAAGTATGAACACAATATCGCGCAAAATGGCCTTAGAACTACTTTGCGTTTTCTTCTTCCTCTACTTTTTCTTGCTGGAATCTTAATGGACGCATTTGAGATGAAGTTCTAACCATGCGCGCCCCCGACAACTGTCTGACTGTCTCTGATCGCACCAACGTTTCCTTTTTTCTTCCAGGCATCGGCATGGGCGTCCTCGGTATCGGTCTTGCCGTACGGTTTGTAGGCTGCGTACTAGCCGTAGTCAGGACGGACTTTAACTTCAAGGAGAGGCTTTTCGTACCAATAGCCTGGCTGCCCAAAGCAACGGTCCAGGTAAAAACACGACTGATTAAATTTCCATCCAGTTTACTTAATAGAAAATTTAATATTTAATATTGTTTGAAATTTGAACGCATTCTATTAGGAGGCAACTCGTACATGAGCTTGTTCTACATTATATTGAAAGCAACCATTACCCTCTTAATAGATTTAGATCTGTCTAGCAATATTCAGAATTTGTACATTCAATTAATGACTGCTTTAATTTTAACTATAATTCCCAACCTGTGTGTCGGCGTAGTGCTGAAGGTTGTCCACCTTCAGAAGTGAACCGCAGCCGTCAAATGGCGACATATTGAAGTTAAGAGGCACCTCAGTCAGTTCACCAACGCAGATTGCTAATGTTTGTATACTTTCTATCATATTTATGTTGAATTTACCAGGCTGCTATAGGATCTGTGGCTTTAGACACTGCAAGACGGAATAACGCAAGTGCAGAGGAAGAGGCAATGGGGAACACGGTACAGCTTGATTATGTTTACCATCTTTATACAATTATTTATCCCAGGCTATAAATTTACCGGAATATTTAAAACAAATGGCATCCACAGATATTAATATACAAATGTAATTTTAAGTAAGCATAGAAGACACCATTAAAATTTTTAGTTTTAAAAATTCAAAATTGGTCATGAATGTTAATTTGTATCATTTAAAGTCTATGATTTTCGATTGTTTTGTTTGAAATTCTTTTTTCTTTAAATTAGTTAATCATGAAGCTTTGGTTTTTATTCTAGATTCTGACCCTAGCTGTTCTTGCCATACTGGTAACTGCCCCGATAGGTGCCGCTCTGATCGCTCTGACTGCTCCTAGGCTGTTACATCAGAGCCCCAAGGAAGGAGAGGAGGAGGAGGACACCAAGAAAGAAAGTAGGTTTTTCTACTTGATTTGTACTAGGTTAAGAATGTTAATATTGTTTGTTGCGGTAATTTTGTGGAAATTGACTTTTTATGACACTTGATGGATTCATGAAATCTATAACTTTCTTTACGTTTTCTGCATGATGTATTCTATAGAAATTGAATCTGATGACAAGATAGAAGAGAAAGAAGGTGAAGAGGAGGAGGAGGAAGAAGAAGAAACACCAGAATCCGAGGTAGAAAGTGACGAAGAAGAGGAAGAGGAGGAGCTAGAAAAGGTAACTCTTAAGTACAGATAAATTTAATCATATCTTTATTTTACGCCGTGAGCTTAAACATTTCGGAAAATTGATAAAAAGCCAGACGTTGACAAATTGGTGAAACAAAATAAGACAATTTCTTTTTCAATGACATATCTTTGAATGCTTCAGCATGGACTCTTCTCTTATATACAATTTAGGTGGAGCACCTGCTAGAAGAAGCAATCCACGAATACGACATACATCACCCCCATCTCCACCCCCACCACGTGCACCACACTGGTGACCACGCCCACCACGAGGAGCATGTGCATCACCACCATCATCACCACCACCACCATCACCACCAGGATGAGGAGCACTACCCAGATCCTGGTGATAAGGAAGATCCAGAGACTGGACATCAGAAGCCGGTTCCTGAGCCAGAACCTGAAAGTAAATCCCAAGGTGAAACGTCTCTAAGTGACCCCTCGTCCCAAAGCACAAAGAAGGACGGCGACGACGCACAGACAGCGGAGAGGAATAGCGCCAAAGTGGAAACTGTCAACGAAAAGGCTCCTCTTCAAAATGATGCAGAAAAAGAGGACAAGAACAACGGCAAAGTGAAAGCCTCTGAAACCCAAGACGGAGTGCAAATCTCCCCAGTCCTTATAGCTGATCAAGACGTGAAAGGCTCTGGTGGATCACAGAGTGCCACAACAGACAAAGAATTATGTAACAGCCAGTCGACATTCTCTTGCTCTTACGACGAGGTAGAACATAAACGGAAATGTGCAAGGCTGCGAGATTGCTGTTACCAGTGTTGCGAACCTTGTATGACCGAGGCCCACCCGCTGCCACCAAATCCCACCAGAGGTCAAAGGTTGAAATATGCCCTCATGTGTCCACCCCATGGGCACACCGGGCGGTATTTGACCCTTATTGTTTCTGTACTGCTTCTTTGGGGTGTCCTTTGGGCTATCACTGGGGATAACGCCTTACCTGGCGGGAACCTGTTTGGGCTGCTTATATTGTTGATATGCGCTCAGCTTGGTGGGAACGTGGCAGAATTGATCAGGCTTCCTTCTCTGTTAGGTAAGATTTGTTTTTGATGTCAAATGTTGTCAGAATCCACTTTTCGAGTTACAAGCTTGCTGTGAAAGCAATGTTGTTTCTCTTCGAAATGATCAGTAATAAGTGAAAGTGAAACCGCTGTCTCCTCATCATCTTATTTATTTCAGGTATGCTGTTGGTGGGTGTGGCACTAAAGAACATTCCATATATTTCCTTTGCTAGGGATATTGACAGGCACTGGTCCGTGGCAATCAGGTGAATAGTTTGCTTTCAGCCACTTAAAGAATCCATAAGCATAATGTCCCATCAATAAAAATAACCGTGTAAGAACTAGCTAATGAAACATGGGCTTATGTTGTTGCAGATTCCGTTTTTTTTTTCGTTAAGGCTCTCTCTAAGAAATTCCCTAGGTCGCTTTGTTTTTGTTCTGCATTTACCCATGTGTATTCCAGGTCTATTGCACTAGCGGTGATCCTGTTGAAAGCAGCACTGGGCTTGGATTCCAGGGCCCTGCGTAAGTCTTCAGCCTCGGTCCTCAAGCTTGCCTTTCTCCCGTGCCTGGCCGAGGCGATCATCGAAGCTACTGCGGCACACTTTTTACTAGGCTTCCCCTGGGATTGGAGTTTTATGCTCGGGTAAATAAGAGGGGCATTATGCCCTCGGACTTGGTGGACATAAGTGGGAAAAGTCAGTCGTGAACGTTGTTTTTATTAACACTTTTGTTTCAGGTTGTGTGATTCCGTACATTAGATGGAGATTTATATACAGCTGGGTATAAATACCATTTAAGCCATATTGTATCACACTGTGTGTCAAAAGAGGACTATAATCTATGCCTGTAGTTGTACGTTCGTAGTCCAACAATAATGATAAAGGCAGAAGTCGTCTCCAATTTATCATATAACGACTGGAAATTGACAAGGATATCACCTTTTTACAACTTCTCGTGTACAGTATGTATGTGTATCATTATAAACATTTAGCCATCACCTGTTTCTATAATCGTCCGCGTCGTCGTGAACTTTTCACAGTTAACGTAATTTAAGGAAATCCGTGTGACTAACTACATGTGTATTAAACTAAACTTATTTATTACCTCCGCCAAGGAGGTTATGTTTTCACCCCTGTTTGTCTGTCTGTTTGTTTGTCATCAACATAACTCAAAAGGTTATTGACCGATTCTGATGAAATTTTCAGGAACTGTCAGAAGTGGGCCAAGGAAGAGATGATTAATTTTTGGTGGTGATCAATAATTAATCAAATAATAAAAAAATCGCTGCCTTGGCGGAGGTTGCGCTCTTGGAGTGCTTTTCTAGTTTATGGATTAAAATGCAGGTCAGGTTCGAATAGCAGCNGCCCGAGTACCCTCAAACATATGAGAGAAAGAGAGAGAGATGGGACTGGAGGGGAGCGTTTCATTTGTTAACATACCCTACACATGGACTGTTTGCACCAAAATCTGAAAATGCAAAAAAATCCCATCGTTATTTTAAAATTGTTTACCACTGTTACTGCTTCATGAAAAGTTAACGTATTATGTTTGAGTTAGGACAGACCTCCCATTCAAAATAAAAAAGGGAATAAACCACGCAGCGGCAATTGTAAAAGCTGGGCACGTTTTGGAGAATGGTACGATGTGCGTAATAAGCTTTTTTGACAAACAACGCGGTTGGCCAAGGTAACAAAGAGGACCCTTTACTCCAACTTTCACCGGGGTACCTAGAGATCCGGGACATGTTTTTTATTTCTCCCAGTGAAGCACGTTTCACCTCAGATTACCAAAACAAACAGATTTTAACACCTAGGATTTAAAAGAATTGGAACAAAATTTACTATTATTTCTTTTAAACGCCGGCCACTTCCCTAATTTTCAGTTGGGTAAATAAATAATTAATTATAAAAGATGATGCAACTTTACCAAAACAAATTTTCGGCAACAATCAATTCTGTTTTTGCTTTTTTAAAATAGAAAAACTAAATCACGGAGAAAGAAGAATAATATGCCATTCTATCGTGATGTGGCTATGTTAATGATCATGAATAGGGCGTCAAACAAAATATCCTTGACTTATATAATGGTTACAAAACTAAACTTAGAAAGATAAAATTTACAAGTCATGCAAGAATTCGTGATAAATCAAAGTTGAAGTCTTTTGATTGCGAACGCCGACTTTTTCTAAGTTTATCAAAATTCGGATTGAAGGTGGTTTCTGCTCAAGAAGGACTTCTAATTTTTACGAAATTAGTAGCTCGTGACACAGATGAACAGGAGCGAGTAATACAGTAATTAGGCAGTTAGCTGTTACTTAGCAACGCGCACGCGTATCATGACATGACCTTGAGATAGCTGAGATATAGGACGGGAATCCGCTTCGATCTTGCAAAGCAGCAATGTGAAGTCTCTAAATATTAACGGGTGAATTCATGTAACTCCCAGCTTCAGTTCTCAGTCTGACGAAGCGATGGCGCAGTTTAACTTGTTGACTTGTCAAGGATGTACGTGTATATGATATGGACCTGCGTGCCTTGATTCAAGGAAATTCTTCAGGGGTTATAACACCAGTCATGATTGCCAGTTATAGTATGACTTAACCTTGTCGTGCAGCATTTCCCTTTGTTTTTAATCATCGTAGACCACAGATGACTTCTACTAAGGATTCAACTCCGGCTATGGAAGCCATAGAACTTGAAGTTCCTCCAGGTAATCACATTTTAGTCTAGGGATCCAGGTATTGTGATAATTATATTGGCGTTTTCTTCCACGCTGCACAGCCATTTGTAATTATCTAGGTCAATCGTGTTACTAAAAATAACTCGTAAATTGTGTAGTGCCGTCGATATCGGGAACTCATAATGCTCGGCTTCTTCTTTTTTTTTTCATCCTGACACGTGTACAGCTTCATTGCTTATGATTATCATAATTCCAGGCAAATTTCATGCATTGATGCAAGAAATTCATTAAATTGCAAAGGGATTCCCCTTGCACGGGATTCCCTCACGCCAGTTAGTGACGTCACATGTTATTGTCGCCCGGTAGCAGGATAATTTAAGTTACAACTTCTGGGTGCGAGCAAGACAAAGGCCTACCGGTATATACAACAAAGCACCCATTTATATTTTACATCGAAAGTTACAAAGGCTTGTCTGCTTTTATTACTGATTAAAAAAACAACATTTTTGTATCTTTTATTGCATTAGACCCTTTTTTGGTCTGTGTAGGGTCAACTTGATTATTAAAAACTATCTCAGGAAAGTTGATAGTAAAAAAAGGCATGTTCCTTATGTTACTGCAAACATATCAAGCATTGTAGACCTATCATATTTATTTTCTTAAAATTCATAAGCTCACGGGAATAACAATACTATATAGTCCCCCCTAATACACATACTATTAGACAGTAACTAGTTTTATATATCATAAAAAAAAAAGAATTCCTCTGACTGTTTTCAACAACTACAGCATTCACTTATGCATCCTTTACTGTATGTTATACCTCACATAACATTAAACCTGTTGTGGTTATTGTCTTCTGAGGTTTGCCTCAACCATTTTCGAAATCCTTTCGCTACCAAAACGGCATTCCTAAGACCAAAGGTATAGTCATCATGAAGAAAATAACTATTATTTCAAAAAACGACTGAAATAAGTATGAAATATTCAAATATTTTACTTCTGTTATAATAAAAGGACGATTACTGCAAAAATAGACCCTAACAATTACATAAAACATTTTAGGCCATGATAGATTACCTGTCATTCACAACACGACACAAATAGACTTGGAACGTTAGGCCGCGAGTCTATGCGTCCCGGCGCGTGTGGGCAGCAAGATTTATCGGCTTCTTGATGTTATCTTCTTGTATCAGTGTGAAGATACTTACTGCTTGAAAAATGGGATGATAGCATGCGTAATAGTGTAGTACAGGTACAGCTGAACCACTCTCATTTTGTGCTTTGCTTTCCTCATGGCATCCGACGTGGTCTAGTGGCTAGGATATCTGGCTCTCACCCAGGTGGCCCGGGTTCGATTCCCGGCGTCGGAAAATTTGTCTTTTTCTCGTCAGTTACATTGAGATATGTCATAAGAGCATTAATTAATATGTACAAGATAGGCGACAGGAACCTTACTATATCGTTGCAAAGTGATTAGCTAATATGAATGATTTGGCACTGACTTATCCATTACCAAATTAACGAGATATATAAAATATGCCTGTCTCATATTCTACTGATGCAAGTAAAAGACATGACAGCACGAATTTTTTTCTAGAAAACTTTGAAGGTATAGATGAAGTACGAGGCGCTGAGCTTTACGAGAAATAGAGCAGATAATTGGGCAGATAATTGGCGAGGCAAAGCCGAGACAATTATCTGCTCTATTTCGCGTAAAGCTCAGCGCCGAGTGCTTTATCTGGCTTAAAGCACGAGTAATTAACCCTGTGCATTGGTGCGTGGAACACATTCGTGGCTGACGTGACTTTACACGAAACAAAGCACGGCGCGACCTATTGTCTTTTGACAAGAGAGTACTTTAATTATATTGAGACGCTCAACCGTTTGTGTCTGTTTGTTTGCCTCTCTCTCTCTCTCTCTCTCTCTCTCTCTCTCTCTCTGTAACCTTTGTGCCATCTGATAGAACCAAAATAAAACCTGCTTCAGTTTGATAAGGCAAACTGTTTGTTCTTCAGGTAAAGATGCTCATCGTCAAGAAGACCCAGGGTCGCCTGCGATCAATCCACTTTTAGATGACAGCCATGAAAACAGTAAAGGAGACGACGGGCACTTGAAAAATGGGATAGAAATTAAAGAAAATGAAAAAGGAAACTTCAAAGAGACTGGGGACGTGAAGAAAAATGGTTCCGTTGAATTTAAAGACATAACAGAACATTTTGAAGAGAGCAAAGAAAAGTCCAGCTACAAAAAACGCACGCGGCGATGTGATGCGTGCCGCACGAGTTGCTATAATTTTTGTAAACCATGTATGACGAAGTACCACCCGCCAGTGACAACACGAGCACAGCGCATGCGCCATGCTCTGATGTGCCCGCCTCACGGGAAACTCGGGCGGGTCGTCACCTCAAAACTAACGCTGATTCTGCTGTGGGCTGTCTTGTGGGCGATCACCAGAGATGAAGCGCTCCCTGGTGGAAATTTCTTCGGCCTTATTGTGCTGTTCTTAGCCTGTAAACTTGGAGGGTTTTTAGTTAGCAAGATACGACTTCCACCTTTACTAGGTTGGCATATTCAGAAAAAAAATTGATCTAAGTTAATTTTAGTAGTAATTTTGTTCTGCAAGCTCATTTTCGAAAAAAAAGTATTTTAGGCGAATAGGATAAAATAAATATTTGATTTTTTTTAAATTTTCGTGAACCACATTTACTTGCATTGGTCTTGTTTCAAACGAAGACCGTCCTTGTAAAATGCAATTAAAATTTCACAATCCTCAATCAAAATAAGATACTAATCTAAGAATCAGCATTCGCTTACCATTGTAAATCAAGCAAGATACAGCACTGCGCGTCTAAAGACAATTTATTTTAGGGCAATCATGAAGAATTTGACATAAAGAAAATGTTGACAAGAAAAAAGGCGAGCTATCGTCCCCTATCTCCATATATTGTGCATTTTAGGCATGCTGATAGTAGGTTGTCTCCTCAGGAATGTCCCGTACATAGACGTCGCCAAGGACATTAAGAAAGAATGGTCGTCTTCCATAAGGTATTGTACTGTTCATGTGTAGGTTGATGCACCCTGGGTATGAGAGAGAGAGAGAGAGAGATTGTGTGTGTAGGTTGATGCACCCTGGATATGAGAGAGTGAGAGAGAGATTGTGTGTGTAGGTTGATGCACCCTGGGTATGAGAGAGAGAGAGCGAGAGAGAGATTGTGTGTGTAGGTTGATGCACCCTGGGTCTGAGAGAGAGAGAGAGAGAGAATGCACCCAAAGACAGCGGTTAAGTTGACGCCAGCTGTCTAATACCCAGGGTACGGAACGGCGTGGTCCCAATAACAGGCGTGAATTGTGCCTTGCGGCTCATTATTTTCTCCACTTCGAGGTTTTGTTTTACCTGACAAGTTCAAAACAAGACATTTCAAGGCTGAAGAGAACGACAAACCCAAGGCGTTGAAGCACGACTGTTACAGTAGGCCTACACGCAGTTTTTTTAAAAGAACCAGTGGCTTAAAATATTTCCTATTTTCCATAGAAACATTTTTACCTGTAAGAATTAAAGCCCAGCTTTGCCACTTCAGATTATACTTGTTTAACTTGCTCTGTCAAAAAATAAATAAATAAATAAATAAATAAATAAATAAATAAATAAAAAGATAGGGAAGCCAAGGTGTGTGATTCTGTAGGCATTTTGGCGGTTGAAAAATTCAGCATGTTTTTTTTTCTTCTTTTTTATTTTCAGATCCATAGCCCTTGTGGTCATCCTCATCAAGGCAGCCTTGGGTTTGGACCCTAAAGCCTTGCGCCGCCTCTCTCACGTCGTTGCGCGGCTAGCCTTCATTCCATGCGCCTTTGAGGCGGTGTCCGGGGCCGTGTCCGGCCACTTTCTCCTGGGCTTTCCCTGGGACTGGAGCTTTATGCTGGGGTAAGAAAGGTGTAGTTAGTACATTGGTGTGTGTGTGTGTGTGTGTGTGTGTGTGTGTGTCAGAGAGAGAAAGAGAGAGAGAGAAGAGTGCAGGTACGACACAGAGAAAGATATTTGGAACTGCAAGAACTCTTTTTGTATTTATTTTAAGGTCGTTCACCTTTTTAAACCTCCAAAAAAGCTTCTTACCTTGTCATCATCTTTAGCCCACTGATTATTATTTCCCTCGTGTCTTCAGCATTCAGGGTATACTGTTGTCGCTGTACAAATGCTTGAAGTTATCGATTAATTATAGTAAAAGGATTGTTTTTTAACAATATACTGATTTATTCTCCTCACTACCACTTTAAATTTTTTCACACGCAATGCCTCCTCCTTGAAGGCATGGGTTACGAAATACTCCATAAAGCAGATTTTAAACATGCTTTCGATTCTTTTCCGGTAATGCGCGGCGGCAGTTTCATTTTTTAAGAATCCTTAAAATGATTCTTTCATATAATAAATTTAAAAGTTTGCTTTCTAACACGTTAAATAGATTATTATTTAACTTTTAAGATCTCAGCGGAAATTAAAGACCATCTCTCAGCATAACAAAACTTTGCCTGACATCGATTTATATTTTATTCACATCTTAAAATTTGTTTTATATGTCTGAGGTGTTGGTATCGAAAATTTTCGTGGAGAATGTGAGACATTTATTTTGTTACTTTGATATTTGTCATAACATTTGTCTTTGTCTTTTTGCCACTGATCACACAATAAAAGTGGGTGTTTCAAAAAATATATATAATGTTAAGTTAGGGTGTCTTTTTGCTATGAAAAGTTAATTAAAATTTCATCAAAATAACAATAACGATTTACTTCATTTTCAGTGTTTCAGTGTCGCTAATTAAACTGCGATAAACATTGTATAATTTCATTTCTGCAGTTCATAATTTATTTTTATATATTTAGTTTTATTTGTTTTAACAGATATAAATAACTTTATATTTTAAACTCCTAATCTTTTATCCAGCTTTGTTATGTCGGCTGTGTCCCCGGCAGTCGTCGTTCCCTCCATGTTGCACCTGCAGGAGCAAGGCCTTGGCGTGGATAAAGGCATCCCCACTGCTGCCGTGGCTTCGGGGAGCGTGGAAAACGTGGTAGCCATAAGCGCTTTTGGGGTGGTTTTGGGAATTGCCTTTTCAAAAGGTAATCACTGGAATGCTGGAATGAAATATCTCCCTAAACACAATAACACAAATGCATGTAAAGGGCAGTTGTTTTTATTTTATTTATTTATTTATTTATTTTTTTTTAGAGCTTGAAACTAATACAGCTTAGAATTATTACAACATTATCACATAAGGAATTTAAAACGGCAGCATTAAAGGGTTTGTTCCTAAATATAGAGATATGTCATACACACATTGCAGAATAAGAAATGCAATTTACAGGCTGCTTTTTATTCAAGTATGATCAAGTATAAGAATCGAGTAATTTGTATAAAAGAAGATATTTCTCTCTAGGTGATTTAGCGTTCTCTATCATTCGTGGTCCGCTGGAGGCGCTGACGGGAGTGGTATATGGCGTGATCGGCGGACTCATGTGTTGGTATCTGCCCCATATCAAACACGTGAGTACTTTGATTCTTCCTCTCGGACTATAGGGTGCGCTAGTAGCATGTTAAATTCTGTGTACTGTTTTAGAACCCCCTGATATCAGGGGGTATCAAATACCATACGTTTCACACACGTTCATATCCTTTTGTCGAAACAATGGAAGCAGTGCTGATTGTATGCTAGGACCCACTAAACAAGTGTTTATAACTTTAATTTGTTTAGTGGGTCCTAGTTGTAATCAAGTTTGCAGGGTGACTTTTGGTATGTAAGGCGTGGGTGGTAATAGCCCCAAGGGGCATTGTTCTGCTCATTACGACGTCAAAGCTTTACTCATATAATAGTTTGTTACATGACGTCATTCACACCTCGCTTTGAATAGGCCTAGGCCTACTGCTTTGAATAAAACTTTTACTGCTGCTAACAGAATATTTATCTAGCCTTAAAGGGTAAACCGTCCCTTTTTCTGAGGGGTTCTTAGGATTGAGGGCAAGGACGGAGAAAATCTTAAATAATTACTGAACCATTACTGTTCATTATAAGGCCTGTAGATGTTGCCCCCCCCCCCCCCACACACACACACATGCACACACACAATATATTTTCAACTTACATATGTATACGGAACGAATAAAAAATTGGGTATATTGGTTGGAAATTAGGCCCAGCACAACACTGTCCTGATTCATGGCCATATTGTATCGGCAACTTATCCCGACTTCTAAGGGGAGACTTTTTATGGTTTGTAAAGGAGACTATACTGACAGTCTGTCAACTAGTATGTCAACTAGTAGCCTATGTGGTATTATGTGTCATTTTTCTTCTTTAAATGACAGCAGACTCTTCTTACCACCCTTCTATATTCTCCCATACAGCGAACAGACTTGATATTATGAAAAATATTATTAAAAAAAATCCGAACGACTCGGTGTCGACGATATTTGAACTGAGAGCGAAATATCAAGGTAAGTTTTGCTTTGGATATCTCAGTGTGCCTATGGATATCCTAAGGGATGTAGAAATACCGTGTGTTCATTACAGTAATTGCCAGCTTTTACATCTATTTGCTTTTTATTAATAAATTAAAAAGGAGAACACGACCCGGACGAGACTCGAACTCGCAATTTTCTGATTCGAAGTCAGACGCCTTATCCATTAGGCCACCGGGTCTTGTTGTCAGGAAGGCGGCTAAATATAGGAAGCATTCGCTGGCATTCTGCTGAACACAATGACTGACCGCAAAATTGCATTTATCGACTTTTTCCATTAAAGCGTATTGTGTATGTAGTATCACTATTAGCTGTGTTTTTGTGACGTGCCTTCGTTGTTATAGGTTAGGTGTAAGAATTGCGAGTATTTTGTTTCATTTAATGGGTATATCAAAAGAAAGAAAAAAAATGAAAAGGTTTAATCATTTTATTTTTATTTCCCCCTAAATTTCAGTTTAACTTTAATTTATTAAAATACTCACTGAGGAATTGATGTTTGGATAAGTGCAGACGTTAACAGGTACGAGCCAGACATCGAAAGGAAGTGCTCGTTGAGATTTTAAAATATCACCCCTCTACTGATGCTTGTAGAATTTTGAGATTAAACAAAACATTAGAACTGTCTTTCTCTTTCCCTCCCCCTCCATCCACCCTCTCTCTCTCTCTCTCTCTCTCTCTCTCTCTCCATTTCCTTCTCTCCCAGTTCGTTTCGCTTCCAGAAAGCATGAGGATTAATCATCACAACTCCGAGTGTTTATGACTTATTTTATTTATTTATTTATGTGAACCAATGTTCGTCTATATTCTCATACATTCTCATACTAATAGGAACATTTGTCGGCCAATGTGTGCTTTTAAATCGCAAAGATGCCTTGTTTTCGGAGACCCTGTGCAGAATTCACTCAAAATTTGCCAGATGCACCCTGATTTTCAGGGCAGAAGACTGCTAACTGACCTCCCAACTAACAGCATGCCTGAGACTCCGTTTCCAGTTGGTTTCATTCTGATAGGAAAAAAAATCCAACGAAACTCAGGGTAACTAGATATAAGCAGAAAATACCGAACGAAACTCAGGGTAGCTAGATATTATATTACATATCAAATCATTTCAATTGTTACAGAGGAAGCAGGTGTCGTTCAGGACGTTTTTGGTAACAAGTGGTGGGCTGTTTGCTCTGTTTGGTAGCGGTGCGGCCAAATTCCCTGGGGCTGGGGCCCTGGGGTGCCTGACCATGGCATTCGTGGCGTCCCTGGGATGGCGGAGACAGGGATGGACATCAAGCGTACGTTACTGCTTTTTTTCCGTAGTTAAATGAGTTCAATATGAATGTTAGATTATACCTGGTTTCAAGTGAAATATTATACTTACAAGCATCATGTTTAATGCTTATCGTTTTATAAACATCAACGTTAATTTGAGCTGCTTCCTTTTACAATGCATATAAACCTGCTCAGTCTGATGTAAAAAGTATGAATAAAGTAAAGTAAAGTATAAATACAATTACATTTATTTATTTTAATCAGAATCCCGTGGCAAAGAGTATTGGTAAAATGTGGCTTATCTTTCAACCTCTGTTATTTGGTTTGATCGGAGCTGAGATAGACATTACCAAACTCAATGGCGGAACAGTCGGTAAGAAAGAAATGCTCCGTTCAAAAAAAAGTATTAACCCGCCTCTACGCTAATGACTGACGTAATTGATAAAATTGACTCCTGAGCCATGTGTAATAAAACAGCGTATGGACAATGGTGTATTTTGAGTACGGGTTTAAATGTTTTATTTAACCTTCTTGCGCCTTATGTTCACTGACTAGCGTGAAATGTCATTGCTTGTCTTCGGCACTATTTTTCTTAGTTACATCTCCTACTAGGACAAACACCACATAAAATGTAAAAGTATGACTCGGTACTCGTTACACAGGGCTGACTTATCTCCACGGGACAGCCAACATGATATATGTACAATCGTGGCTGGTGAACAGTGTGGTACAATATCACACGAGTTCCATTATTGTGTCATGTTGTTATTTGGATTTTGTATCTTCAACTCGAACTAATTTTATACCAGTTCGCAAACAGAGCCGGTTTTTTGAGGAAAGAAAAAAAAGAAAACATCCTCCATTTAAGTTTTTATTATTATTATTATTATTATTATTATTATTATTATTATTATTATTATTATTATTCAGTCGTAAACAAAAATGTTAAAATATTTTCAGGAAGTGAGTGGTTTTAATTTTAAATAGTTTGTCTTCCATACCGGTGCAACGAAATTGAGGGTCCGCGTAACAGAAAGTCCGCACTCCATTTACTGATAATGGTTAGGGTTAGCCTGATCTAAGTGGGTCAAAATCTAGGTCGAGACTGTACAAATGAATGGGAAGCGGACTCTCTATTATGGGAAACCCACAGGTTTGTTACACCGGGGCACGCCCACTTCCATTGTAGGTCTAAAAGTATGAACACAATATCGCGCAAAATGGCCTTAGAACTACTTTGCGTTTTCTTCTTCCTCTACTTTTTCTTGCTGGAATCTTAATGGACGCATTTGAGATGAAGTTCTAACCATGCGCGCCCCCGACAACTGTCTGACTGTCTCTGATCGTTCCAACGTTTCCTTTTTTCTTCCAGGCATCGGCATGGGCGTCCTCGGTATCGGTCTTGCCGTACGGTTTGTAGGCTGCGTACTAGCCGTAGTCAGGACGGACTTTAACTTCAAGGAGAGGCTTTTCGTACCAATAGCCTGGCTGCCCAAAGCAACGGTCCAGGTAAAAACACGACTGATTAAATTTCCATCCAGTTTACTTAATAGAGAATTTAATATTTAATATCGTTTGAAATTTGCACGCATTCTATTAGGAGGCAACTTGTACATGAGCTTGTCCTACATTATATTAAAAGCCACCGTTACCCTCTTGATAGATTTAGATCTGTCTAGCAATATTCAGTATTTGCACATTCCATTAATGACTGCTTTAATTTTAACTATTATTCCCAACCTGTGTGTCGGCGTAGTGCTGAAGGTTGTCCACTTTCAGAAGTGAACCGTAGGCGTCAGAAGGCGACATATTGAAGTCAAGAGGTATTTCTGTCAGTTCACTAACACAGATTGCTAATGTTTGTATACTTTCTGTCATATATATGTTGAATTTACCAGGCCGCTATAGGATCTGTGGCTTTAGACACAGCAAGACGGAATAACGCGAGTGAAGAGGAAGAGGCGATGGGAAACACGGTACAGCTTGATAATATTTACCATCTTTATACAATGATTGAACCCGGGTCATTTATTAAGCGGAAAATTTCAAAACAAATGTCATTCACAGATATTAATTATAATGTACAAATGTAATTTTAAGTAATTTTAGAAGACACCATTAAAATTTTGTAATTTAAAATTTTTTAAATGGTCATGCATGTTAATTTGTATCATTTTAGGTCTATGCGTTTCTGTTGTTTTGTTTTAAATTCTTTTTTTATATTAGTTAATCATGAACTTTTGTTTTTTATGCTAGATTCTGACCCTGGCTGTTCTTGCCATACTGGTAACTGCCCCGATAGGTGCCGCTCTGATCGCCCTGACGGCTCCTAGGCTGTTACATCAGAGCCCGAAGGAAGGAGAGGAGGAGGAGGACACCAAAAAAGAAAGTGGGTTTTTCTACTTGATTTGCACTAGGCTAGGAATGAAAATATTATTTGTAACGATAATTTTGTGAAAATGATTTTTTTTTATTTCACGTGATGGAATCATAGAATATACAACTAATTAACGTTTTCTACGTGATTTATTCTATAGAAAATGAACCTGAAGACAAGACAGAAGAAAAAGAAAACGAGGAGGAAGAGGAGGAGGAGGAGGAGGAAGAAACACCAGAATCCGAGGTTGAAAGTGACGAAGAAGAGGAAGAGGAGGAGCTAGAAAAGGTGACTCTAAAGCACAGACAAAAAAGTTTCATTCTAAGTAAGATCACTTTAATAATTTCTCTGTTTTTACGCAGTAAGCTGAAGCATTTTAAAAAGTATATAATGGCCAGCAGTTGACAAAATGGTAAAGCAAAATTAGACGATTTACCATTTTCATTGCCAGTGTGTGAATACTTTAAAAGCTTTGACATAAGGGTTATGTACAATTAAGGTGGAACACCTACTAGAAGAAGCAATCCACGAATACGACATCCACCACCCCCATCTCCACCCCCACCACGTGCACCACACTGGTGACCACACCCACCACGAGGAGCATGCGCATCACCATCATCATCACCACCACCATCACCACCAGGATGAGGAGCACCACCCAGATCCTGGTGATAAGGAAGATCCAGAGACTGGAAATCAGAAGCCGGTTCCTGAGCCAAATCCTGAAAGTAAATCCCAAGGTGAAACTTCTCTAAGTGACCCCTCGTCCCAAGGCTCTAAAAAAGACGGCGACGACGCAAAGACAATGGAGAGGAATAGCACAAAAGTGGAAACTGTGAACGAAAAGGCTCCTCTGCAAAATGGTGCAGACAAAGAGGGCAAGAACCACGACAAATTGAAGGCCTCTGAAACCCAAATCTCTCCTTTCCCTATAGCTCATCAAGACGTGAAAGGCTCCGATGGGTCACAGAAAGCCACAACAGACAACTTATGTAACAGCCAGTCGACGTTCTCTTGCTCTTACGACGAGGTAGAACATAAACGCAAATGTGCAAGGCTGCGAGATTGCTGTTACCAGTGTTGCGAACCTTGCATGACCGAGGCCCACCCGCTGCCACCAAATCCCACCAGAGGTCAAAGGTTGAAATATGCCCTCATGTGTCCACCCCATGGGCACAACGGGCGGTATTTGACCCTCATTGTTTCTGTACTGCTTCTTTGGGGTGTCCTTTGGGCTATCACTGGGGATAACGCCTTACCTGGCGGGAACCTGTTTGGGCTGCTTATATTGTTGATATGCGCTCAGCTTGGTGGGAACGTGGCAGAATTGATCAGGCTTCCTTCGCTGTTAGGTAAGATTTGTTTTTGATGTTAATGTCGTCAGAATCCACTTTTCGAGTTATAAGCTTGCTGTGAAAGCAATGTTGTTTCTCTTCGAAATGATCAGTCATGAAAGTGAAATCGCTGTCTCCTTATCATCTTATTTATTTCAGGTATGCTGTTGGTGGGCGTGGCACTGAAGAACATTCCATATATTTCCTTTGCTAGGGATATTGACAGGCACTGGTCCGTGGCAATCAGGTGAATAGTTTGCTTTCAGCTACTTAAAGAATCCAAAAGCATAATGTCCCATCAATAAAAATAATCGTGTAAGAACTAGATAATGAAACATGAGCTTATGTTGTTGCAGATTCCGTTTTTTTTTTTTTTCGTTAAGGCTCTCTCTAAGAAATTCCCTAGGCCGCTTTGTTTTTGTGCTGCATTTACCCATGTGTATTCCAGGTCTATTGCACTAGCGGTGATCCTGTTGAAAGCAGCACTGGGCTTGGATTCCAGGGCCCTGCGTAAGTCTTCCGCCTCGGTCCTCAAGCTTGCCTTTCTCCCGTGCCTGGCTGAGGCGATCATCGAAGCTACTGTGGCACACTTTTTACTGGGCTTCCCCTGGGATTGGAGTTTTATGCTCGGGTAAGTAAGAGGGGCATTATGCCCTCGGACTTGGTGGACATAATTGGGAGAAGTCAGTCGTGGACGTTGTTTTTATGAACACTTTTGTTCCAGGTTGTGTGATTCTGTACATTTGATGGACATTTATATACAACGCGGGGTATAATTGCCATTTAAGCCATATTGTATCACACTGTGTGTCAAAAGAGGACTATAATCTACGCCTGTAGTTGAACGTTCGTAGTCCAACAATAATGATAAAGGCAGAAGTCGTCTCCAATTTATCATATAACGACTGGAAATTGACAAGGATATCACCTTTTTTACAGTTTCTCGTGTACAGTATGTATGTGTATCATTATATACATTTAGCCATCACCTGTTTCTCTAATCGTCCGCGTCGTCGTGAACTTTTCACAGTTAACGTAATTTAAGGAAAACCGTGTGACTAACTACATGTGTATTAAACTGACTTTATTTATTTATGGATTAAAATGCAGGTCAGGTTCGAATATCAGCTTTATTGGGTTATATTTTCTTTTTTTTTTCACATATTATATAGGTTTGTGTTTAGGGCTGTAATCTTACAGTGTGTACGAAACAGTACGTTAGGCATTTCACTTCTTTGCCTATTTTGTCTTTGCAAAGAATACATACTTCTATATTGTATTATATTATACGTTCTAAGGTTCGTCCTGTCAGCAGTGTCCCCGGCAGTGGTGGTACCTAGCATGTTACACCTCCAGGAGCAAGGTCTTGGAACTGATAAAGGAATTCCCACCATCGCCGTGGCCGCTGCAAGCATAGAGAACGTTTTTGTCATTAGTCTGTTTGGCGTCCTGCTTGGGATTGCCTTCTCACACGGTGATTATGTGAATTTTTGAATTATGTTTTCTTACTCTGTTTGTGCTTTCGATAATGATGAACTTTTTAATTGCTGAAACCTTTCTTTAACTCAGAGTTGAGTTTTGCGTAAACATACGTTCTTAATTTGACAAAAAATGCCCTTATTTTGAAATCGCTGAACCATCCACACGTAGGTCCAGATATAACGTACCATGTACCGGGGCCACAGAATAATTTTTCACTAGATATTAAGAGATATGTCTCTGGTTTAATAGATGGCTAATCTCTGTACTGTCAGCAAAAATCTCCACAGAATAATAACTGCGGCCCTGGTAGAGGGTACAGATAACGCATATGTCTGTTATGGCATGCTTGATAATGCCATATCAAATTTCATTAAAACGGGAAACTTAGAAAAGTGGTCAAATATCAAATGTGATCAGAAATTCCTCATTACAAGCAGTACATGCAGATATTAAGCATTTCCTAAAAGAGGTCACAAGCAAGTTGCTATGCTACAAAGAATTCATTAAAAATTGGCTTTATTTTTGTATCTATAGGACAATTGGTGCAGATGATTCTACAGGGTCCTTTGGAAGTGCTGATAGGTGTTGTATATGGTGTCGTAGTGGGAATCGTGTGCTGGTATTTTCCTCATAAGAAACACGTAAGAGAAATCGTTTCTGGTTTAATGTCATTGCAGACAGCTCAGTTGCATTGCATTTTTCATGTTGCCAGTCGTCTACTCTATAACATTTATCATGTTTTTTGGTAACTGATGTTAGTGGAATGCCAAAAATGATTTATTTGATTGTTTTTGATATCCGAGAGATTGTCCTTAAAGTGTATTACATTTTAGTCTTCGATTGATATTCTCTCATTGATTATTCTGCATATGCAACTAGATTATAGTACGTTTGCCCGTGGATATTAAAATATCTTCTTGCACCAGTAATGCAAATCAAATACAAGTTCCACATTCTATACTACTAAGCTACTGATAATAGTTTTGATTTTACCATCATTTTCATTTCATTATTTTGGTAGAAAAACCTGGTGATGTACCGCACGTTTCTTCTATCTGGCGCCGGGTTGTTTGCGTTGTTTGGAAGTGTTGCTGCCGGGTTTCCAGGGGCAGGGCCTCTAGGCTGTCTTATCTCGGCGTTCACGGCTGCCGTTAGATGGCGCAAGGAGGAGTGTAACGACATTGTACGTATCTCCTCTAGTGAGACGATTAAGTTGATTTTTCAAAAAGGATTATAATACTCGAGAAGATAGATAATTATTTCTCATTAGTACGTATTTTATACTAAGGAAAATTGTAACATTGGAAATATCCAATCATTTCGCTTATTCCAACTCATAACTTTCAATTTCAAGTGGCTTGAACACACCAATGCGGTTTCCCATGAATTTTACTGTATGTTTGAAGCTTTTGTTTAAAAAAAACGATCCATTATAAATGGTCACTATCTTTTAACCATGGTAACATATTTAATATGCAACTCTACACCATCTGAATAATCTGTTCAAGCTTGACGTTGGTTTACATGCGCGAGGTGCAGTACTGGTGAGTATGACCGGCACTCATTGGTTTGAACAAAATTATTTCAAGCCCCTGTAGCCCTTGATAGAAATTCCCCGATGTGTTACTCCTCTTTAATACCCAAGTTTTCCACGTGGTGATAATACGCATGTNGGTGGCTGTGTCCCTTTCTTTGTGTATGTGGGGGTTTATACGAATGCGCTTGCTCCAGCTGGTGGTACAATATTCGGAGGCGGTATCGCCTCTCTGATCCTCTAGTTGGGTTATATTTTCTTTTTTTTTTTCACATATTATATAGGTTTGTGTTTAGAACTGTAATCTTACAGTGTGTGCGAAACAGTACGTTAGGCATTTCACTTCTTTGCCTACTTTGTCTTTGCAAATGATGGATACTTCTATATTGCGTTATATTATACGTTCTAAGGTTCGTCCTGTCAGCAGTGTCCCCGGCAGTGGTGGTTCCTAGCATGTTACACCTCCAGGAGCAAGGCCTTGGAACTGATAAAGGAATCCCCACCATCGCCGTGGCCGCTGCAAGCATAGAGAACGTTTTTGTCATTAGTCTGTTCGGCGTCCTGCTTGGGATTGCATTCTCACACGGTGATTATGTGAATTTTTGAATTATGTTTTCTTACTCTGTTTGTGCTTTCGATTATGATGAACTTTTTAATTGCTGAAACCTTTCTTTAACTCAGAGTTGAGTTTTGCGTAAACATACGTTCTTAATTTGACAAAAAATGCCCTTATTTTGAAATCGCTGAACCATCCACACGTAGGTCCAGATATAACGTACCATGTACCGGGGCCACAGAATAATTTTTCACTAGATATTAAGAGATATGTCTCTGGTTTAATAGATGGCTAATCTCTGTACTGTCAGCAAAAATCTCCACAGAATAATAACTGCGGCCCTGGTAGAGGGTACAGATAACGCATATGTCTGTTATGGCATGCTTGATAATGCCATATCAAATTTCATTAAAACGGGAAACTTAGAAAAGTGGTCAAATATCAAATGTGATCAGAAATTCCTCATTACAAGCAGTACATGCAGATATTAAGCATTTCCTAAAAGAGGTCACAAGCAAGTTGCTATGCTACAAAGAATTCATTAAAAATTGGCTTTATTTTTGTATCTATAGGACAATTGGTGCAGATGATTCTACAGGGTCCTTTGGAAGTGCTGATAGGTGTTGTATATGGTGTCGTAGTGGGAATCGTGTGCTGGTATTTTCCTCATAAGAAACACGTAAGAGAAATCGTTTCTGGTTTAATGTCATTGCAGAAAGCTCAGTGGCATTGCATTTTTCATGTTGCCAGTCGTCTTCTCTATAAAATTTATCAGTTTTTTTTTTAACTGATGATAGTGGAGTGCCAAAAATGATTTATGTTATTCTTCTTTATATCCGAGAGATTGTCCTTAAAGTGTGTCACATTTTAGTCTTCGATTTACATTCTCTCATTGATTATTCTACATATGCAACTAGATTATAATTATATGAATTTTATTCCGCCGTGCCAAAGTACGTTTGCCCGTGGATATTAAAATATCTTCTTGCACCAGTAATGCAAATCAAATACAAGTTCCACATTCTATACTACTAAGCTACTGATAATAGTTTTGATTTTACCATCATTTTCATTTCATTATTTTGGTAGAAAAACCTGGTGATGTACCGCACGTTTCTTCTATCTGGCGCCGGGTTGTTTGCGTTGTTTGGAAGTGTTGCTGCCGGGTTTCCAGGGGCAGGGCCTCTAGGCTGTCTTATCTCGGCGTTCACGGCTGCCGTTAGATGGCGCAAGGAGGAGTGTAACGACATTGTACGTATCTCCTCTAGTGAGACGATTAAGTTGATTTTTCAAAAAGGATTATAATACTCGAGAAGATAGATAATTATTTCTCATTAGTACGTATTTTATACTAAGGAAAATTGTAACATTGGAAATATCCAATCATTTCGCTTATTCCAACTCATAACTTTCAATTTCAAGTGGCTTGAACACACCAATGCGGTTTCCCATGAATTTTACTGTATGTTTGAAGCTTTTGTAAAAAAAAAAACGATCCATTATAAATGGTCACTATCTTTTAACCATGGTAACATATTTAATATGCAACTCTTCACCATCTGAATAATCTGTTCAAGCTTGACGTTGGTTTACATGCGCGAGGTGCAGTACTGGTGAGTATGACCGGTACTCATTGGTTTGAACAAAATTATTTCAAGCCCCTGTAGCCCTTGATAGAAATTCCCCGATGTGTTACTCCTCTTTAATACCCAAGTTTTCCACGTGGTGATAATACGCATGCGCAGAAAGCTCAATTTCTGCACTCGGAACTACTCGGATGTCTCCGCAGTCGACAATGACAGTATGGAGCTTGCGGAATTAGCCGAGGATTGCCGATAGCATTTTCCGGCAAATTCAATAACGACGTTTGCGACAACCGACTTCCTTGGGGGGAGGTGGGGGGGGGGAGAGAACGGACGAAAGTCTTAGCGTGCGCAGGATGTCATCCATAAAAAAAAAAAAAAGTGTGGCCTTAGTGGTCAGCATAAGTGATGGACAAAAGTACAGAGGTGTTTTCAATGGGGGTTGCTGCCAAGTGTCTGGTTTCGGCACCATGAGTGTCAGAGATGTCTGGAAATAATTTTCCACCATCAGCGTGCCTCTGCCGTGGTGTGTTATCTCTGAACTCGGGCAAGACCTTGAAGTTAGGTCTAGAATGATTTTTGTTCAAACTGATGAGTACACTGTCCTCTATGACGTAAGTTGCCCGTCATTTTGCTTTTCATTTGTGTACTGTTGTTGCTGTGAAGTGAACAAGTGCCAAAGGTTGCTTAAGTGCCAAAGGTGGTTTGCGTAAAAAATACACGTCAAGGCGAGGACAGACAACTTACAAAACCTGTGGTGCTAAGGAGGGCTTAGAAATTAAGGGTCAACGAAATGGAGCAAATCTTAACTTACAATATGAAAGCATATGGCCTCTTACACGAAAAATATCTTGTATCTATAATCAAGAGACGTATAATCTTTATACGGGAATCAAATTGTTTAGAGATAAAACATCATGATCACCCCACCCCTACAGCTGACCCGTCATATAACAAGAAGTATATTAATTAATTCAGGTAGCATTTCCCATGAAAGTACCAATGTGTTACCTGTTCTATGCTGTGCCAGGGACATTATGCAGTTATAAAACAATATATCCCGTACGTGGGGCCTTTCCAGCTTTTCATTAGTACAATACAATACAATACAATACAATGTCTGTCTCATGACAACCTAAATCCAACTACCTTCCCATGCCAGCTTTATATGCTGCAATTCCCTTTAGGTTTTTACACGTAGCAATAGACACCATTGGTATAATTTTGATTTGGTTTAATTTTGGTGACTCCCAAATTCGGTGCCGGTGTACAGCAGTAGATGTGGGCTACATATCCGAAAATCACAAATCAAAAATGCATTTCATTTTTTTCCTTAAATTTCAACAGTCCATTTGATTGGCGCTTTGGTGATTAGTTTTTTTACTCGTTAATATGATTTGATGTTTTAGAACAAGAAGTCTTGGTAACATTATTTTGTCTTTATTTTAGCATTCTGTTTTATAGTTCACGTGTTCTGTTCATTTTATTTTACACTTTTCTGTCGTTTTTGTAGTTGTTGTTCTATTTAATTTTTAAAATTACAGTTATTGCAGAGATTTTTTAGGTCATTTTAAATTTAGAAATTTGTGGACGTTAAAAAAAATGTATTAATCTTACTTGTTATTGGTATATAGTTTCACATCTCCGTATTTGACATAAACTCAACCCTTTATAATTTTCAGTCATTATAGAAGGAGCAGAGTACACGTAATTCTTTGTTAACACATCTTAAGCCATATATTCCCGACTTATGCTGAAAAAACTTTCTTTTTTCTCTTTTTTATTTGGTCTCGTTTGTTTATTTCTCAATTACACGAGTTTTCAATGTAAGATTTAATATACTTCTTTTCTCTTCAGAATTTTTAAAGGGGATTGATTTTGTTTATTTCCAGACGCGCATAAAAGAAATCATAGCTCAGTTCTGGGTGTTGTTCCAACCATTCCTCTTTGGCCTTATTGGCGCCGAGGTTGATTTTAAGTCGATAGAGGGCAGCGCATTAGGGCGCACCACAGGTCAGTAATTTTATTCATTCAGCCGGCTAATTAGTCAAATGGCACATGTTAATGGAATCTGAAATGATGCGAGTTTGGCCGATGTTTGAAGGCTTCATCGAACAGAATTCCTTAATCTGTCGAAAACGTGAATTTGAGCTATTTGTAAAAGCCGCTTTTTTTTTCGTTAATTCTTTTTGGAGGTATTTTCGAAATGTAAATTATTTATTTTTCATTTCTAAATAATGGTCTCTCAATTCTCGTTTTTAGAGGGGAAAATAAAGGTAGGCGATATGTACTTATAATAAATAATTTTTCAGCGCTCTTCTTCATTTTATTTTCCATTTATAAGTCAGAAAATCTGTTGATTTTGATATGCAATAAAAAGCAACTACATTACCTTTTTGACATGTTAATTTATTTTCTTGATATTTTTTTCCAGGTCTGGGTCTTGCCGTCCTAGGCGTGGGTCTCTGTCTGCGCAGTGTGGTGACGTTTTTAACCATGATAAGGTCGCCCCTGAATATGAAGGAGCGGCTGTTCCTCGTTCTGTCGTGGCTGCCCAAGGCTACAGTGCAGGTATACAACCCAACTTTCTTTTATCTTTATGCGGCTATATTTGAATTCGAATAAGAAAGAAATCTAACATCGAAGATATTATTAATTGTGAGTATTGGTAAAATTTAGTAATCACGTGCAATGGATGGTGCGCAAATTAGGTAATAAGTGACTTTAATGCATACTGACGTGATTCACCTACCTCTTTACAAAATGATGACCAAGTTGAAAGTTGGGTACGACAAAAGAAAATATATATAGTAATATATAGTATATTGGAATGATGTACGCATGGATAAAAGGCATAGCCTTAATTTTTACTTGATTTTATTGATTATTCAGGCTGCCATTGGTTCCATCGCCCTGGACACAGCCAGGGATCATGGTCATGGTGACATGAAGGAGTTCTGGGGACTACAGATCCTCACCATTGCCGTGCTTTCGATACTTGTTACCGCTCCGATAGGTGCCGCTGCGATCGCACTCACGTCACCAAAACTGCTCCGCAAGACCAAGACAGACACGGAAGAAAAGAAAAAGATAATAGGCGCCGAAATGAATGACATTAGAAGTATATCTTTGGAGGACTTGCAGCACGAAACTAACAAGGATCATAAGCAAAATTAACTAATGGCGATTTTGGATTGATAAAGAGGTGGAAAATTACAAGAGGAGGATCTAAAAGAAGCGTAAAAAAGTAAAGGGTTATTCAGTAAAATGCACTGATCGAAGTTGGCATTTTACAAACCTTCTCAAAAACACTTTGTTTTCAAAGCACACTATCATGAAAACCCAGCAACTGTGTAAGGCTTTTTTGAGAATATCCCAATAACGGCGAACTTCTAACTCGTTAGGCTTATAGGGTGCGGTCTTAGACAGGTATTTAACTAATTTTGTACTCGGCTTTGAGGATTATATCAATAACCAGTTATGAAAGTATCTTAGTAATCATCAAACATGAAAAGCTTACATCCTGTTAACCGTGCCAACCATTCGGGACATCTCGGCTGATTCCGTACCCAGAATCTAACATACGAAACTCCCAGCGGCTGGCCGAAGATAATTTCCTTGTCAATATACACAATGTATATACCAGTGCTCGGGCAGCATCTGAGGTTGCAAAGATTTTTTTCTTCTTAAAATTATTTTGTTTGATGCATTATAACATTTTTCTTTATCAACCCATTTGGAGATGCCAAAATTGACCTTTACTTGTGACAAGTACGTGTACGTGCGTGTTTAATAAGGAAATGCGGTATTTCAGCCATGAAGTATCTTTATCAGCACTTTGACATATTTGCCTCTCTTCGATTTACCCTATTTACGGTGAGCGTGTAAGACTGCTCAAAAGAAAAAAAAGCCCAGTGAAAATAAAAGGATTTGCTTTCATTGATGTTTGATATAGAATGTTTAGGTAATAGTCGTGTAAAATTGTTTTGGACGGTAGAGATTCAGATTGAGCAATAATTTTTGATACCTCAAAAATAGATTATTCTACCTTTGTCTCTCTCTCTCTCAGGAAAGGGACGCTTACACTGCAATAGGCAGCGAGCGCAACGCACATGTTTTTTAAGAACTTATCAGCCAATGATATTGCAGGCAGAAGCCCTAAACAAACAATCTATATAAATACAGTGTTGGGGGAGTAGGGAGTATATTTTTCCTCACCATACCCCCTCAGATTTGTCCCAAATAAAGAGATAGAGGGCGTATTCTGCTTTTGATCCCACTGCCATCACTCAACATGTTGAACTTATTAAGTTTATATTATGCATTTAAATGAAAAAAATATTGCCAGCAACTTTGTGTATTGTGTAAAAGTTGTTATAATGATAGTGATATGGATGCTTTCATTTATACATTTATGTTATTTGAAATCCTATAGAAATATATAGGCCTATCAGAGTATTACAGCTATTCCATATGAAAAACACTGCATTACAATGTGCACTCGAGCGTTCAAAAAATCTCCGCAAAAATGTTCCGTAACGTTAAAATCACAACGGTTGCAAATAAGATGGGTATTTTAAATCCAAAAGTTTGCCCAGAGTTCAACAAGATAGATGATGCTAACAAAGGATAAGCGAAAGCAGCGTAATTTTCAGTTTTATGCAGATTTTAAAATTGACGTCAAAGTTATCAATAAAATGTGTTTCCTTCATAGAAAATGTCAATTTTTTGTTCTGATTTCTTTTTTGATGATCATTCTTTTAAAGGCGATTACGTACATCTTAAGGCAAAATTCGGTTACTGGCATTATAGCCTATTTTCAAGTATTCTTGACACTGTTATAGTCACGTAGCGAGGCGACGTTCTCAATTTTTGAATTGCGTCATTTCTTTGTTGCACAATGTGGAATAGTGATCACGATTTGAAATATATTATGTTAACGGGATCCTAACGATTCTACTAGTAATAAGGAGAATTTATTTACCAGTGTAGCTATTAAAACTAATATTATATTTAACGAAAGACAATTTGCACTTCATGTTACGGATGGATTTAATTGTTACAAATAATAAACTTGCAGCATTAAAGTGATAGCAGTGCAAGCATGTATCAAGTGAAAGATTGTCTTATTGAAAAATAAAATCAATCTGTTGTTACAGGCCTTGTTGTCCATAACTATTTCTTTTAATAAAATATGGTTATTTTTGTGAAGATTATTGTTTCATAGTGAAAACAATAGTAGGCCTATTTCTTTTATCAAATTAAAATATATTAATTAATTTATTTATTTACTTAGTTGTTTTTGACGTGCCTAAACTAGTCAGAAGACAAAACGAGTCTCTCCTTTCTTCTTATTTATTTATTTATTGTGAGTTTGTTTTTATAAATAAGAACAACCGATTTTTCACAAATAATCATTGTTGGCCTACATTCAGGCCTACATTTACAACATACGTTTCCTCCCCTGCTCTCTCCTTTCTATATTGTTTTGCCAAATTGCGCCGACTCTCCCACCAAAGCTCAACCCTGTTAACTAGTTTCGAAAAGTGGTACTGTGATCGTGTCACTAAAATTTACTAGAAAATAATAAAAACCATTAATAAATCAACGTGCCCTAGAAGCGTCTACTTGTTCTCGTCTCGCGAGTAGCCTTCCGGGTGCGAGAAGTCGCATGCATCCTGTCCTGCGACTGGCCTGCCCTCTACGGTAGGTCAGCATAAACAAGCCAACATGGCATGATGGCACATATTTCAAAGCAGGGCAGCAAGAAATTTCCAGAACATGACGGATCAGAGATAGATTTGTCCCTTGGACACAATTTACATAATAACCAGAACCATGTAGATGGGTTCAAGACCCTAGAATTCCACGATGGGTCCCCCGAAACGCTGCACTGGGGGGAAATCCGTCCCCCAGCTTTGGGTCGAAGTGACACCTCGGATTCTGAGATGTCCCACCGCAACGATGCATCAGTATTCTCTGATTCTCAGTCACCGGACGACCACGATATCTCTTTCTCAAAACGGTGCAGTTTTATGAGGCAGGCGTCCATCGTAGATGACTTGTTGTTTGAGATCTACGACCGCTGGCATGTCACTCACCGAGATAGCTTTGACAGTGACACCTTCACGGAGGCGTCGAGCACGTCCGAGGTTTTCCACTCGGGACGCTATGGGTCGTATCAATTGGAGCTGGAGCAGAGACACTCCAATAAGCTCAACAAGGCGTTCCTGCAAAATAAAGGTACAGCTGAGTTAGTAGTGGCGGTGACGATGGGTCATTATAAAGATATTTTTGGTAATTTAGTCACTGATATTACATGCTAAAATACTCCAGCACTTGTAGTACAGGCCCGTAGCCAGAAATTTCAAAAGGGGGGTTCTTTTTCTGAAAAAGTGGACCTTTTACCATGAAACTTTCATGTACTTTAATTAAATTTCACCAAGAGGGGACCTTTTCCCTGCTAAAAGGGGGGTTCTTTCGAACCCCCCGAACCCCCCCTGGCTACGGGCCTGTAGTACATGTAAATATATGTCACCTGTGGACATACCATGTGTAAATGTTTTTGTTATTGAGGTTTGTGTGTGTCGGGGTATCAGGTGACAGCTGGATACATTTGATCAGGGACTTTATGTACAAATATACATGGATTGCCGTTTGTACAAAGGTTATAGAATAAGCCATAATATATCTTCAATATCTACAGATTAAGTGCAGTAAGAGCATACACACATTTAAATTGTAATTACAGAAAACATCATAAAATAAAGGTTGATGCTCTGAGAGTGACCTGAGTCGGTCATATCACAAAGATAATTTGGATTTATAGAACCATGTATACCCAGTTGTAAGTAATATATGTACTGCCTCTTTGTAATCATAATATGTTTATTAGTGGGTGAAAAAAGACCCCAGTCCCTTTTCAGGCCCTTTTTGCATGGTCACCATGTGTTACACTTACTAGTATCTGTATGGAAACATTGACTGTATGGTCTGTTTATTCACACTTTTTCTTTTTCTTTGCTCCCTTTCACAAGTTCAAGTGGATGGATGAAAATTAACCCAGTTAACTGGCTGTGTCGAGCACAGTCTGAAAAGCCCTAGACAAGACAACTCCTTTATAAAGGGAAACTGAACCATGCCCTGCCATACCATTTCTCTTTCTGCAAAGCAATTTTTGTAAATTGTCTTGTGTAATCAATAACATGCTTTCCAGACACGGTCTCTGTATCTCTCAAGGACCTACCAAACTACTAGTAACTGATTGCATGAGCATACTACCCCTGTTGATGCTGCCTTAGTAATAACGTGACAACAGGATTTACCGAGTTGCAAAGAATGACACTCAGATTTAGGAGGAATGACAGTCCACATTGTTTTTTTCTCGTCGTGCCTTTTTCTCTGTCACTGCTTAAAGTAGAGGTGTATGTGATTTTCATGTCTATTGGTTCTATTCATTCAACCTGATATATTTAAATGTATAATTTGTTAATTTTTTTACCAAATGAATGATGAACTAACAAAAAATAGTCAATTTTATAGCATTTGTTTTTTGCCAAAAATAAAAATACCTTGAGTTAGGCAAACATGAGCTTGGCATATAATTTCTTCATAAGTGGTCTTTGTAACATAATAACATGAGGAAGGTTTCGTAGGGTCAATTAACTCAGCCTGTTTACTAGTAATGATAGCCGTATGTAAGAAAACATGGAAGAAGGTTTGGAAAGGATATTTACTGTCCTCATTGTGTCAGTAAGGGGCAATTTGTCATCATGGGTCAGTGAATTTTTTTTCGTGTTAACCTTCACGTTGGTGACTGGCTGGTGATTGCATGCTGGTAACTTTGAGGACACCAACTTGGGCCAAGGCAGAGTGCTGATAATAAGATAATATAACATAAAAATATTTAGAAAAATAAATAATAATCAGTAAACACAGATTCAGTTGCAGTTTTAATAATTTCATTCCCTTTAAAAAACTGTCAATCCTGAAAGCATTGCCAATTCTGATTGGTTTGGTAAAAGAAAGGAAAAGAATATTATTTACAAGATTTTATTTGGCCAGAGTCACCTGGGCCATACAAATCCAAAAATTCAAACCACAAAGTTGTGAGATTGCTTAAAAAAAAACTACAGCTTATTCAAGTAATAAGTTCAGAATAAAGGAGTTTAGAAACACAGTGTTCCATATTGTTCTGGTATTTATTTTCATACTCATAGTACTCATTGAATTTTTAAGAGTTTGTCAGATAGTTTTTAAACAAAATGAATATACTGTATGTGATTTTTTATATTTTAGAGTTTTATATGTATAATGACTGTACTAGTAACTAAAACAATAAAGTCCACAAAAAGTTGAGAAATGTAAAAATAAGAATCTAAATATTACAAAATATGTTTGGCAGCCTGACTTTTACATAGTTAGATTAGTGATGCATTTGGTGGCCCTGAAAAGGACACGTGCAAGTGTTATACTGGTATTCTACATTTTATTTGTGCATAAATTCATTTATTTGCATACTAGCACTCATATTTCAAGTGACTTAGTCATCCCTATTCATTAGCAAAATTTACTGAAGCTTAGGTACTAGCATGATCCTTTAAAATTCCACCTAAGAAATATGACCCTTGTAAAGAAAACAGATTGATATAAAATAGATCAAAACCAATGAGAAAAGTTGTACTGTTTAAGCTTCCTTTAGCATGGTTCAATAAAAGCTGACACATGAGGTATAACTTCCGGGATTTAGTGACTGAAGTCATGGGATGAAATTTACCTGTTAGTTTTGAATGGACCTGTAGTTTTGTATTCACCTTGAATAGGTACATACCTTATTTAAAAAAAAAAACCTTTAGAAAAATTGGTTTTCATATAAAGTTATCATCCAGACATTTTTCTCTGCATGGGATAATGAAACAACTTGAATAAGGTCATTTAGTTGGGTGTCCGCGTGTTATTGCATCCTGAAATTTTGTTTCAGAAATATTTTAAACCTCACATTGTGATATATATATATATATATATGGGTATAAAGCGTTGTCCACATCATTGTCACTTAGAATTATACCATTTTGCTGAAAGGAATGACATGTCAAAGTTTTTCTTGAAGAGAGAGGGTGTTTGTGTTCATCTGTGTGTGTGCACGCATTTGTGTGCGAGTGTGTGTGTATTTCTGTTTGTCAATATTGTGTTTTTGCTGCTAGCTGGCAGCTAAAGAAAATGGCCATTTCTGCAAAATTGATGATGCTTCAATATAATATCTAATTGGTGCACTTGATAAATGGATGTACTGCAAGTGATAAATTGTTTTCAGGCTTTCATCGTGTGTGTGTGTGTGTGTGTGTGTATACACGAGTGTGTGTGTGTGTGTGTTTGTGATGTAGCATGATGATAGCAAATCATCTAAATGGATGTGAAGACACTTTGAAATTTTTACTTGTTTTTAGATAACTGTGATCTGAACCATGCACAAGCACTAGTACAGATAAGTGTTCATGTATTAAGCGTTTAAGAATACACTTCACTGTGCTACTTCTATAGTTGCATTTTTCACCTACAGTAATCAAACTGGGGTTATAAACTGATGTCACCAAAAGATCAAATGACATGTTGACATCCATTTTGCTGTAGAATTTCCATGCTTAAATAAGGCAGTCTGGTTATCCGGTGACACAATTTGGAATGTTGGCAGATTAATGTAGCCCTGTTCTGAACATAACTGGAAGCTATTGGGGCGTCCATCTGTCTATGCGTGTGGCATTCTCAAATTAACCGCATGCTGCAAATTGTGATAGCTGGGATAGGGCTAACACTCGCCAATTTAGCCAAATGCTAAAAATGGCTTAACTTGGCTAAACAAAAAGGGCTTGAATTGACTCATTTTAGTCAAATTAAAACCATTTGGATAACAAATTGACAGAAAAAAAAAAAAACGGTGATTTGGCTAGGCGAAAATAATTGCTAGCGCTACCCCAGGATAGACATACTATATGTTATCACAGCATGATTACTAGTATCCTATGACACCATTTAGACAGTTTCCAGTCTAATTTAGTCCCATTGTGAACACAACTGAAAACTGCTGGTACAAACACATAGATCTCTATGTATATC